TACAAAGACCTTGTAATTGTTTGGCTCACCTCGAATCCAATGGATAACAATACTAGAGTCACTCCAATAGACATACTTGCTTATCGGGAATGTCATAACACTCCTTATTTTGTTAGTGAGATTCGCCAGTAGTACTGCACTGCATAATTCCAATCTTGGGATTGAGATAATCTTCATGGGCGCTATACGTGATTTAGACGTTAGTAATCGTACGGTTCTTTTTTCCGTTGTATCTATAGAACACAAATAAATACAGGCTCCATAAGCCACCTGCGACACGCATCACAGAATCCATGCATTTCCACCTTGATGGCGTTCTTGATTACTACTTGACGTGGTACCTGTATTTCTTCCATAACTTCCAGTCTTTCCTTGTAGGAATTCCACTCGAGCATAAATTCACTTGGTAATTTGTCATCCCAATTCACGCTTAATTTCCACAGGCTTCTCATGAACAGTTTGGCCTTTACTATGACTGGCCCTATGAGACCCAATGGATCGTAAATTTGAGCAATGACGGAAAGGATACCCCGTTTAGACTTACAAGCTTCTCTAGGTATTGTCACCTTAAATTTGAACATATCTTCCTGCGCGTTCCAATGAATTCCCAACGTCTTCACTTCCTCCTTGGATGCAAGAGGCCTTTCGTTTTCGGAGTTTGATAATAATTCCAACACGTTAGAGTTCCATTTCCGGAGCTCCTGTCGAGCCGTGGCCAAAATCTTCACTACGTCTTGTTTTAGCTGCCGTAGATGTGATACAGAATCACTCCCTGTAATCAAGTCGTCCATGTAGAAATCATTCTGAATAGTCGCTGCTGCTCCTGGATACGTTTGAGAGTTATCGAGTGCTAGTTGTTTAAGACACCTTTGAGCAAGATACGGTGCAGAGGCCGTACCATAAGTTACCGTTGTTAACTCAAACTTAAGAATGGTATCTCTGGGATCATCTCACCAGAGGACTCTCTGCAGGGCTCTATCCCTTTTGTTTATTTTGATCTGACGGAACATTTTAGAAATGTTTGCGATCAAGACATAATTATGCTGTTGGAACCGAATCAAAATTTCCATGAGCTCTTGTTGGATCTTAGGGCCCACCATCAACAAATCATTCAGCGATTGACCTGAGGACGTTTTACAGGAGGCGTCAAACACCACTCTGAGTTTTGTTGTAGTACTTTCTTCATGCGCTGTATGTCTTAAGCCACTTCCCTCTTGGAGCTTCCAATCCGGTCCGAATAAATGATCTTGATAGTTTTTAGTAAACATTTTGGCTATTAAAACATTTCATATGACATATTGCAGAACCCTTTCGGAATTGTTATTCATAAGATATGAAAGGTTGAAACATTTTAGGCGGAAAACCTCTAACACCACATTTCACCGGGCGACTTTTGGCATTTTCATTTCCACCCGCCATATTGAATCAGTCATTTTTTTCTATTCTATATTGATTCAACCATATTGAATTTTCAAATTTTGAATTCGAATTCAGAATCAAAGGCTCTAAAAATCTAACGCTACATTTCGCCGAAACCGAACGACTTTTAGCATATTCGTCCGCCATATTGGTTCAATCATTTTGAATTTTCAGATTTAGGTTCCTAGTTTCAAAGAGTGATCCCAAAAATCGCCCGTTTTTTGGGCCCTCGATTTTGAAACCGAATTGTATGCCAAATTTTACATTATATTGAAACATTAATTACAGAAAAGTTTGAAGTTGAGGTGACAATTACTATCAGAGCTGGGAATGTAAAAGAAAACGGATTTTTGCATAGACGTAATACATGACATCCCCCCTCACCCTCTAGCTATGATAACAATTGTCTCCTCAATTTGAAGCTGCTTTGTAATTGATATCTCATTGTAGGGTATCATTTGGCAGTTCAGTCCAAAAATTAAAGGCCCAAAAAACGGGCGAAAATAACTCCTTTTTCGGGGTCACTCTTTTAAGTTCGAATTCAGCATCCCTGAAAACTCTTTAATACTACATTTCGCTGAAATAGGAGGATTTTTAACATTTCAGTCCGCCATATTGGTTCAACCATTTGGAAATTTTCAAATTTTTGGTCCGGAATCGACGATTCAGAAAACGATTCTTTTTAATACTACATTTTATTTTCAAATTTTAGGTTCGAATTCAGTATCAGCATCCCTGAAAATCCTTTAACACTACATTTCGCTGAAATCGGAGGATTTTTAAAGCGACCCCGAAAACTCTTTAATGCTATATTTTGCTGAAATCGGAAGATTTTTAGTATTGCCGTCCGCCATATTGGTTTAGCCATTTTAAATTTTCAAATTTGGGTTCCAGATTCAAAATCAGCGACTCCGAAAACTCTTTAACACTATATTTCGCTAAAATAGGAAGATTTTTAGCATTTCTGTCCGTCATTTTGTCAGCCATTTTGAATTTTCAAATTTTGGATATGTTTTGAAATCAGCAACGCCGTAAACCAGAACAGACCTAACGCTACATTTCGCCGATATCGGACGACTTTTAACATTTCCGCCCGCCGTATTAATTCAAACATTTTGAATTTTCAAATTTGGGTTTCTATTTTTAAATTTTAAATTCGGATTCGGCATCAGCATCCCCAAAAATTTTTAATTTTCAAATTTTAAGTATGGATTCAAAATGTGGTAGTAGCTGCGGTCTTCATGTAAATTATAAATTTAAATGTTATAATTATTTTTTTTAAAAACAATACAACGTAATTTTTGCACTTTTTTATAGTAAATTTTATAGTAAAATTTTTTATTACAAAATCAAGTCTTGTTGAATGAAAGTTAGTATTGTAAAGATAAGTAAAAATATATACCTAGTAAATTTTGTTTGCGTACCACAGTAAAAATTAACTGTTTTCATGTTAGAGTATGGCTTAACAAAATAATTACTTTATTTATGTGATAAAAATTAGTATTACCATAGTAAAAGTTAAGTCGGAATTATGTTGTGAGGGTCCATACCATGGCGTAATAAGACAAGGTGTAACATTCCCGTAGATGCGCAGTAGTATGCGCTTCGACCAATCACATTTGGGTCCAAATGCACCCGCGAAATTTAAATACACAAATAATTACATATAATTAAAATGTATTTCTATTTAAGATTAAACGTATTTCTATTTAAGATTAAATGTATTTCTGTTTAAAAATAATGTAAAAAATATATGGAATTAGTGTTGGCCTAAACAATGGCGAGATAGGTAAAATATTTCCGTAAAAGCGCAAGTACTTAAATTCTAAATGCTAAAAACAATGTGATGGCAGATATATTAATTGAGAAGGAAATTGGGACGTGTGGTCACATGTGGGATATATACTCGCACAAAGAGATAACAAGGTAATATTATATATATATATTATCAAAATTTATTATCATAAATAAATAAATGAGTATTAATAATGATAGTGTTTGTTACGTCCTGAGCGCGAGTTTTCGGCGGTCTCGAGACGCGACACGAGTTTGCGGGAACGCGAGCGCGGAGCGGGGTGAAGTCTTGACTTCGATGTGGCGTTTAGACGCATGTCTTTGTTATTATTATGGGCAGCTGTCACCAGTGCTCGGAATTGAGCACGATATTCGAGAATTGTATATGT